ACACCGTGGAAATTGCTTGTTAATAAGAATCTGTGTGAATCAACACTGATTTGAGAGGTTCGACTCAAAATTATTTGTCAGCTGATAGATTACGATGAATTTCTGTGGTGGTGTTCCAATAGTGATTGGCCCAATGTATTGGTCGTTTCCTAAATCGGCAAGCAGCTCGCTGAAAGGTTCTGCTGATTGTCCTGTCGAAAATGCGTCCAGTACTCCATATTTCACTTTCAAAAAATTCGCCAATTGTTTCGTATTATACTCGCTGCTTTTAATTCCTTTCGTTCCATTTCGTTTCATTATCGGTACCCTAGAATTACAATCCCATGAATTTTTCCGTTGCATTCGGAAGCTTATGAATTTAGGGAACACACGGATTTTGTTTGAATAAACTGCATATCAAGTTCAGGCCATGATTGGGTTTTTGGGTTTATTCAGTCACATCACGCGTTCATTTCTGAATTAACTATCAAAATTGTGATATATTAAAAAAATCTAGCGCCTAGCTGAGACATCCACTTTCAGTCAATAACTTCCTTATATTCCGTGCATGAATCACATGAAACTTCACCCTGATAGTTTCATTGGTGAAAATTTTCACCGATAACATACCTTATTATAGCTTCAGAAGTGCATGATAAAGCCAGCACAACAAGCAGATATTCAACTGCTTTCGCCATTTCACCTGCAATATAAAACACTATCAATGTCAACCTGATTAGAACATATGATCTGATGATCAGTACATATTCGTTTAGTGTTTAAGGTCCAATCCATTTGATCGAAACGAGAGGCAATCAAAACCAGATGATAACCACAAGTTCAGCAAATTCTTTAGTTATTCGTGAGCTGGCTGCTATCAGATAGAGATAAAAGTGGATAGCGAGTGCAAGCGAAACGAATGCGAGTAATCATATGCACTCATGAACACCACACCTATATATGTACAGAGATTTCAAAATAATGTTTGGATAATAGCAAATAAACGAATCAAAAAACGCTGACAAAACACAGTTAGAACTGAAATGATTCAATGAATATGATAGTAAGTGATCAACAAATGATGACATTCAACGAATATTTCATCCTTTTGCACTTAGTCGTTTTAATGGCCTCAATTATCCGCACCAGTCACCAGCTGGTTCTACTTTATTAGAGCAGATGAAACTTTTTATGCCCAGACATGACACACCAATATTGCCATACGCGCTCATCAAATGTTTCCGTGTTATCGTGATTTAATAATATACTACAAATTACTTTGTTTCGTCTATTTCGCGTTCAAATCTCACCGATGAAGCATTCATCAACAAATTCCAAGAGAAATTCTATGGCACTAAACGGGTCAAATTTAGCCAGCCCATTCCACTGAACTCGGCAGAATTCCTTAATTTGAATCGCTCAGTAACATTCCGCGTATACCACCACCAACTTATCATCAACATCCTTAAGCTAAAATATCCAAGTTTCAATTCAAAAGCGCCATGATGTTCCGCATAGAAGAATGCATGATTTGATCTACGGTTAGATAGATGGAGCAATTGTAAGTCTAAAATATTATGCATGTACAGCATCTTTATAGTGACGGTCAAGTTGGCGATTCGAAAGATTTGCTATGACTAAGAATTGAGTAAGTTCGGGACTAGGAATTGTCAGTAGCCAATAGGCGAACACTTTGTGCCACTCGAATCAGTTCCTTTGAACTAACGAGTAATTCAACGGAAATTTTCAGTGCAATACCCGGGGATATAGACGAAAAGCGACCTTTAGCTACTCACCTGAAACGATAATCAGTGATGAAAGTGATCTGATGCAAGCTGTTAGCTAACAACACAAGAGACGATACGATCTCGCTTCTGCGCAACACGCGCTTATGACAGACAGTTCGTCGATTCTTCATGATGCTTATAAGCAAGCTGTATTTGATCAGTCAGAATGCGTTGGAATTGTTTGACATTGAAAAGTTTTGGAAAATTCGACGAATTGTGACTGTTGTTTGAATTGTTGTTGGTGTTCAACAATTCAAACAACCTTCGCGTTGACNCAGCATTTCATTATTCAAATGAATTGTTCAATTTCAAACAATTGCACAGCCGGAAAATGTGCGTTTTCTTTCCATGTTGACGCTGAATTTCCATTGTGAAAAAAAAAGTTTTTTTTCGGTAAAATTTTTTCGCTGAAATTTAACGGTGTTTAAATATTGCAAAATTACTGTATAAATATGGATTTATGAGAGTGATTCGACGGGATACACAACTAATAAATCAGAGATATTGAATGCTTTATTTGCGTCATAAGGGATGGCGTATGACAAAATGTAATCAGTCATAATAGTAAACCCTTTAACATGAATATGATTCAACGAATACTATTACTATAACGATCATAAAATCCATATCATTATTTTCGAATAATCTTTCACTGGCACAACAAAATGAATCTCATTTGTACTCTACTGCATGAACCGTTCGGTTTTTACGATCATGCAAAAAATACACCAGATATAATACATGTCACATTTCGGAATTGATGTTGATTCGAACGCTTTTCATGAATCATANACAATAACATCATAACCATTATCTAATCGTTTTGATTGCGTTAAACCTTAAAAATGGTTTTATTAATTGCTGTCCTCATATACGTTACACTTTTTGATCACTGAAAATCGAGCAAACCGTCTAATCTCCCAGCTGTCCAGCAAAGGAAAGGTCAATTCGTACAGTATCTTCAATAGAGTGACGAAACGTGCCTGATCCTAGCACATGTTTTTGTCTAATTTTGCAGATATGAGATAGCTATCGTTTGTCGCTTAATCAAAACATTTCATTGTCAGTTTCATAACATTATAACATGCTAATTTGTCTTCACTGACGATGTAATATCAAATTTGACTGGATGGACGAATTCAGTGCAACAAATTCTTACGAAATGAATAAAACATGCGAACAGTTCTTTTAGGACTGAAAGCTGATGGTTGCCGTCATGCAAACCGCATCTCCAATTCAAATGTGTTTCGAAAATTCATATGGCCAATCGATCGAGTTTTGCATGAATCGATCATTTTCGTGTTTGCTACGGAATGGT